TGTTCTGCTTAGTAGACTAAAACTATTTTTTTGGGACCCTTAATCTAGATTAAGATCATCTTAAAAGGGTAGATTTCTTAGATGACCAATCACACCTAGTTAAAAAAAATTGGGACGACTCTATTTGTTAAATCTAGCTATAGATTTTTGAATCTATATGTTATGACATATATGTGTGTGTGTGTGTGATGTGAGAGAGAGAGAGTGTGTGTGTATGTGTATGTAAAGAATTATGATTTTTTAAACTTTTAATTAAGAGTGTTAAAACTCAAAATTTTCTCTTTTCAAACTTCCATCTATTTCAATCACCCAAAAATGCTTTGCATGAGAAATATTCGCAATCAATTGTGTTACTCGTTGATTTGGAGTTTTCTCTTATATACGGGTTAATCAAAATCTTTATTCCTTAATAGGAATACTTTTAATATTTATTCTTTAAATAGAATATTTTAGCCACATCAATGCCATGCCATTGTCTACATAATCCCTAACTTATCTAACTATATTTCGCTATGAGTATTTTGAGTTTTTGATTTTAACATTCATGTCCTAATTACTATCCTTCATCATCTAATCCTTCTTTCTTTTTTTTCTTTTTCATGAAAAAAAAAAAAATCTTTACCATCTCAGTTTTTTTTTTTTTTTTTTTTTTTTAAATAGTTATTTGTTTTCCTCTTTCATATCTCATCTGCAAATCAAGAAACTAAAGACAATAAAATTGTAGGTGCCCAGGTCATGCAAATTTGAGCACCCAACTTCAAATTCTACTTATAATCTTTTTTTTTTTTTTTTTTAACCTCAACGTTTTTTTCTACAACTAAACGGAGAATTGAAAAATAGGTTTATATATTCCGCATTACATATGATAATGTTTTAAGAATTAAACAGTCAAGGTTAAATTTCAAACATTTTTATGAATTTTGAAACATTTTTATGAAATTTGAAAATTTGATATTTCACCATGGAGTTCAAAATTTCTCAAAATCTATCATTAAAACATTCCATCTGCTTTGTGGCAAAAGAAAAAAAAATCTTATCTGCCAAACACTGCCTCTTTACTCTTAATTATTGTTTTGATTCTCGAAAGAAAAACATTAATAAGAGAAAAGGAACAGGTGTTTGCTGGGTGTATTTAAATTGATCCCATGCTAACTTGAGTTATGGAAAAAAGGTTAGATTTGCAGATTTAGCATTTGAGTTTAGGGTTGAACAAACAAAAAGGATAAAAGAAAGAGAAAAAGCTATGGAGGACGTCTGGAAATGGAGCAAAAAAAAGTTTACAGAGTCAGGATTTTAATGTTTGAAGCTGTATGACGTGGGAGTGATGTGGCTTAGAGTACTCCATCTAGAGAAATAAATTTAAAACAGCCCCTATAAGGGAATAAAGATTTCAATATTAGAAAAAACTCCATAGATTTGGTCTCAAGTTACATGAATGGACGCCACTCTAAGTCATCTTATTAATTCCATTCAATCATTTTCAAGAATTGGAATTACAACACTTTCAAATTAAAAATCTTTAAATTTTAATAAGTAGAATGCCATTTTGAAGGAAAATTGAGTAGCTTCTGTCGTTAAAAAAAAAAAATCTATACTAAAAATATCAGGCAATGTCCGTGAAAAATTCATGTGTATAATGTTTTCAAAATACACTTGGCGACAAAAAAAAAAAAAAAAAAAAGAGAAAAGAAGTGAAATGAAGTGAAACCACAAAGCCCACAACTTCTAAAGTAAAGGAAGTAAATTCAAAGACGTTAATGGCTTATGACTTGAGAAAGGAAAACGCAAAAAAAGTATCCAAAGCCTCATTCTCAAACGTGCCTGACCTTTTTTTTTTCTTTTCCTTTTTCCTGTTTAAAATCCCACCCACCACCTTCACCCAGTTGGTAAAATAAGACTTTACAAGCACCATCCACGATCCATGTCTTGGGTTTCACAATTAGATTTCACAATTTAAAATATAATACAATAATATAATATAAAAATATTATAATAATACAACTTAAAATTTAATAAATAAATATAAATAAATTTATAAATACAAAAAATATATTTTTTATATTTTTAATAACAATATAAATTATAATATATAATTTTTAAATAAAAATAATATAAATATATTATTATTGCGTCTATTTACAACTTGCTAAGAGCTAAGCACAAAAAAAAGCGAAGTTGAACGTGCAGTAGACACCATTATCACAATAGCAACATTCCACCCATTACATAACCATTTTTTGCTCCAAATTTTCCCTTCCCCTTTTCTGCTTCTTTTTGAAAATTCAGCCATTTCCTCGTTCGGCGTGTTGAGTCTAGAGAGAATTTAATTTATTTTTAGGCATCACTTAAGGAAAAAGATATACTATACTACCAAATACGAACAAAAAAACAACAAAAACGACATCACAAAATATGGTACATTACAACTTGAGGTTGCTCTGGCCAATGACCGTGAGAGCATTTTAATGGCCCCAACATGGACCAAGCTCCATCAATCTAAAGTTCAAAGTGGAGAATCTCCTAATAATGGATTATGCATGAACTTGGGATTTAGTAGTGGGGTAGTATGGCATCCGTAATAGGGAGAAAATCACCTATTTCATCAAATATGTTATTAATAATTTTTTTATTTTTTTTAATTTTAGTGTGTGCTTTCAAAAGAGCACATGTGCAAGAAAAAATTTTGAACTTGATTCAAATGGCTAATAGTTTTAGCTTTATATGATTATCAATGAAATAAATATGATTATCAATATAAAAAGTTATTTTTATATATGAATTCTTACATATCCTATCATTGGTAGAGTGACTTTGAGTTTTGATACCTTGGAGATATCATTATGGCTTATAAATCCAATATCTATATTAATATTAAATACAATATTTTTTAGTTAAAATCAAAATTTTTTTTTCAAATTAACTCCAAAAATAATTCAGTGAAAAACACAAAGAAACTTCAATGCTTTGAATCAAGAAAATAATTAGATGATCAAGTCATGTGCATATAGCCCAATAATTTAATGGTATTGTTTAAAAAAAAAATTGAATTCTGAAGTTAAAACTAGGCATTAAAACTGATAAATAAAAAGATGAGCAAATTTTTTCCAATAAAAATTTTAATTGTCCTTTTTTGATTGAAAATATTATAATCTTTTAGTGAGCTGTGAGCCAACAAATGGATAAATTAAATTAAAATTTCCTATATTTTGCAATAGCTAAAAGGAAAGAAGAAAAATTTTGAAGATGTATACAAATTCATAATTGAGGAATAAAAAAGTGTAAATATAGAATAAATGCTGCAATATCAGAATCCCAAATTTAAAAGGTGAAATTAATCAAGTAGAGAGAAATGGGTAGCAAATTTGACCAAGATCTCTTAGTGGAAAAACACAGGCATGGTCCAATAAAAAGATATGATTAACAAGCATAAAAGATGACTTTTCATCACTTTTGAAAAACATAATCCAAATCCTAGTATTAAAGTCAATCATTCCAAAAAATCAAAATGCTTTTATCAGCAAAATACAACAGTGTTCTGTTTATCTAATCATGAGCTTTGGTGACACATGTTACTTGTTGGTTCAAATTATAGCTATAATGGTTGCATCTTGATGGAAACATACTATGTATCCTTATTTATCAAGTATAATAGGAAAATGACATTTCAACATAACATCTTGCTAGTTTCATAACTAACACTCTTTTTTGCCACTTCTAAAAGTTACACATGTAAGCAATATTCATTGAGATACTTATTGTGTTGAAATTTGCTTTGAAACTAATGAACTAAAAATTTTCTACAACATCATCAAAATTTTAGTTAAGGCTCATTGGAATTGAATTGAATCTACTCAATCATATGCAATACCAATCTTAGCTTAATCCTCCGTTTTGTAGCAGAAAAAAAGGTTAGGGGTTGCTCTACATTTTTCTTTTTTTTTTTATTAGAGATAGAATATAATGTGCTAATTTTTTAGAATATTATGAAGATTCGTTATAATATTTGTGTAAAAATTAAAACCTATATTTATGAGATATCTTCTATAAGATAATTAAATAAAATTATTAAATTTTCGAATCAAAACAAATAATATCTTATATGTTGAATATAGATCTTCACATTATCTATTAATAATGTTAGAACAATTTGTACTATATGGAAGGATTGTTCTAACTTCAATATGTAGCATTTCAACTCTGTACTATATCTCACTTCATCAAATTTAGTTGGGATTGCAGAATTCATTAACTGGAAGGATGTTGCAATGATTTTTTCTATAATTAAGACCATAATTTAGGAGTGAAAGAAAAATTTTCGTATTTACTTAGAACAGCATAAAGATGAGCTACAATAAGTGTTCATTAAGTTCCAATCAATTTCATCTTTTCAACATTTCAATGACTCAATAAAAGAAAACTTTCAAAGCTATACCAACTAGTTGACAAGAATCAAATTGTCTAATGATATTAACGACCATAATGATTTAATTTTTAATTGATCCTCTGTTAATAAATTATTCAAAATGTTGAAGCTTATGCTAATTACCTTATAAACTATCATTAACAGTTGAAAATTAGTAGCACTATTTGCTTGCTTCCTAAGACTTACATTGCTTAAATCTACTGCAAAAAGTCAAATGGAACCTTTGAGTTTGAGATCAGACACTTAAACTGAACTGTTGGGAACAGACACGAGATTAGCTAAATTCTCCTTGAGTTCATGTGTTCAGGTAAAACCCTTTTTAAAAACTTACCTTAAAATCATCACTGTAATCCCACATTCCCTCCAATTTCTTATTTCTGTATTTGTTTTTCCTAAGGTATGACTTTAACTACATAAAACCTCCCCATTGGTTAAAACTCAAAAGGTCATTCGGGACCCTCTTTCCTCCTTTTCATAATCCTCATTCACTAATCACTATTCAAAAATTAAAAAAAAAAAACCATTAAAAAATCATCAAACACTAACATTATCAGATTTTCTACTCATCATCCAACTGTAAAGCAACCTCGCATTGGATACAGAGAGCAATGCGATGAACTATTTCTTCACTTCACCAAATCTAATGACCAAACCAAGAAAACTAGATATATCCAGAAACTGAAACAACATGCCTTCAAGGCCTTTACCACCAGCTGGTCCAAACCTACCAAGACCAAGTTTCATCAACAAAACAAGAGTCATATTCTTCATCTTAACTATCTCATCTTCAGTAGTTATTCTCTTTACAATAATTTACTTTCTTTACCATCTTTGGAACTCCCTTTCAAACCGAGCTAGAACCATTCCTTTTGACTCTAGTGCTCCTCTTAAGCTCCAAAGATTTTGCTACAAAGAGTTAAAGAATGCCACCAATGATTTTGATGATGCAAATATCATAGGTAAAGGTGGTTCAGCTACCGTCTTTCGTGGCATTGTCAGAGATGGTAAACTGTTTGCCATCAAAAGGCTTGATGCTCTTTCTTTGCAAACTGACAGAGAGTTTCAAAATGAGCTGCAGATTCTTGGTGGGTTAAGATCACCTTTTTTGGTTACCCTTTTGGGGTATTGTGTTGAAAAAAATAAGCGTTTGCTTGTTTACGAGTATATGCCAAATAAAAGCTTGCAAGAATCTCTTTTTGGAGATGGTCATCTGAGGTTGAATTGGCAAATAAGGTTTGATGTTATCCTTGATGTTGCTAAAGCTCTCGAATTTCTTCACTTTGGCTGTGATCCGCCAGTGATTCATGGAGATATTAAGCCTAGCAATGTGTTGCTTGATTCTGATTATAGAGCAAAGATTTCAGATTTTGGATTGTCAAGAATCAAGGTGGAGGGTGAGTTAGGGGTGGATTTGTTTAGTCAAGAGCTATGGAAGAGCCAAGAGTTATCTGGGAATTTGGGTGGAACCACTGGTGAACAGACTCCAGCAATTGGGACTCCTGTGGAGAGTAACACCACCGAGGTAGACTTCGCACTTGCCTTACAAGCTTCTTCTTCTACAAAAAACAGTAAAAAATGTTACAATGTTACGGCTCTGAATTTAAATTCGTTCAATTATAATGCTAACTTAGCCAGTGAGAGTGATTGTAAGGCTGGGAATAATGGAAAAGGGAAGGAGATTATTAGTGCGGATACTGGTGGGGACGATTGGAACACTAAGTTTGTGCCTTGTGATGATGAGTTTGGTGGTATTGATCATAGTAAGGAGTTGAATTCTAGGGCTACTTTGTGTGCTGATGAGGCAGCGAGTATGAAACAATGGGGAAAGGATTGGTGGTGGAGGCAGGATGGGAGTGGTGAATTGTGTAGTAAGGATTATGTCATGGAGTGGATTGGGAGTCAGATATGTCCATCAAATCCTGATTGGGATGATGATAAAAAGACCACTCCTGAGAAAATTGAGTTCCACAATTCAACTCAGTTGAATAAGTTAGAAGATATTAATGAACCCCAGATCCAAGGAGTTGGATTTGAAGCTTTAGATAAGGGTTTTGAGAATAAAGAAACAAAAGGCGGGAAAAATGGGAAAAAGAGACATAGGAAGATGCAAGAATGGTGGAAAGAAGAGCATTTAGGTGAGATAAGCAAGAAGGACAGTAGGCCGAAGCAGCTTAAGACAAGGTGGAAGAAAGGATATAAAATGCTGCATTTTGATCTGGGAAGGCGATTTTATTTTCACAGGAGCAAGAAGTTTGAGGAACCAAATCAAGATGACTGTGATGCAAATGGAGAGTTCAGTTTTAGAAGGGGATGGAGGAGAAAAAACAACAATTCCATTGGAAGTGACATGTGGAGTGGGGATCATTTTAGTCGTGAGCTAAGCAGCACAACCAGCATGAGAGGGACTTTGTGTTATGTTGCGCCAGAGTATGGTGGGTGTGGCTACTTGATGGAGAAAGCTGATATTTACAGTTTAGGAGTTTTGATCCTTGTGATTGTGTCTGGTAGAAGGCCATTGCATGTTCTTGCTTCACCTATGAGGCTTGAAAAGGCAAACTTAATAAGCTGGTGTAGGCAATTAGCTCAATCCGGAAACATATTAGATCTGGTGGATGAGAGATTGAAAGGTGAGTACAATAAGGAGCAGGCAAGCTTGTGCATAAATTTGGCACTTAGTTGCCTGCATAAAATGCCTGAGTTGCGGCCAGATATTGGGGAGATTGTAAGGATCTTGAAAGGGGAGATGGATCTCCCAGCAACCCAATTTGAGTTTTCTCCATCTCCACCTTCTAAATTATACAGCGGATCAAGGAGAAAACAGAATGCCAATGCAGACTAGTTTTTGCTAATCCTTTCAGTTTTGCTTCTGCCTTTGCTGTCAAATTGGGGTTTCAGTGACTGGTGAGTGTAACATAGGAGAGATGATTCGAAGGCGGACTGAAGGTGTGAACCATAATGATTATGTTGCATGCATATTAAATGAATGATTTCCTCTTTCTTTTCTACTAACTTGATCCATATATTGATGGCTAAAGTGAAGTTCGATTTCTATCCAATAGCTTTAATACTATCAGTGTTTCCCATATGCATCATGTAAACATTGTACATTATATGAATGTCATCCACTTTCTTCTCTACTAAATTTTGTATCTTTTTCTACAAAATATATCGGTAAGTTTTCATGTTCACCATCTCCCTTCTGCGGCTTTAGATTAGGTCAGCTATGAAATCTGATTCTGATTTAATTGTAGATTGATTACGTAGTAAGGATTAATGTCATAATTGTCCTTGGATTATAGTGAAATTTTTAATATAAAACTTAAATTTTAAAAATATTTACTATGATATTTATAAATTTATTAATTAATATAATATTAATCACTAACATGTTTAGTTCTAAATAATAACACATGACAAACAATCTTTCAGTATCACATTAATTAATAAATTTATAATTCAAGTATATATTAAAAATTTTTTAAATTTAAATATTACATTAAATATTTTACTGCAGTTAAAAAGTAATTCGTGTCATTATCCAAGAGAATAGTATGCCCCTTGGGCACACTCATGAAAGAGAGGTTCAGTTGATACCAGATTAAGTATTTGCACCTGAATCTGGAACGTTCAATGCTTTTGTTTGTTAGGGATACATAACCTGTTTTGCTCCCTGTGGCATCGTTTGAAAACTGGAAGCATGGGGTCTTGTTTATCAGGAAGCTACTAATGTTCTGTCCCTCTCTTCTCTGCTAGATTCAGCAGCTTTCGCTATCCTTGGTGCATATTTTTCAAAAATGCATTTCGGTGCTAGACATTTTTTCACCTGTAATGGTTTAATTTTCATTGAACACCACTTTTTTTTCACTAGATAACAAAATTTTAACAGATTACGTCCAGCTGGCAACACAATAATAGAACACGATTAATGAAAGATTCAAACTCCACTATAATAAGGACAAAGGCACTGCCCTTGAGTTTTGGGGTTAAATTTTTTGTTGCACTAATGGGAAGTTTCTGCTTCTTCAATACCGTATTTAATTTATGTTGGTTTTTTGCACCAGCTTTAAACTTATTAAGTTCCTTTGAGGAAGATGAGTGCAGCTTTAAACTTTTGGTTTCTGTTTGCTGGCTTGGTACCACACGTCATTTTCCTAATTATGGTCGTGGGCTAAAGCTAATCACTATAAAACAATATAAGCCATGAAACCAGGGGGGGCTACCATGACTACCAGTCAGAATAAACACACATGATAACAGTGTTAACAGTGAAGGTAAGTGCTTCATCATTGTCCTTTTGTGGATTAGATAAAGTTATAGAATAAGAGATAAGCTCTTTCTGTTTCATTTCTATCACCCTGCCTTTTACACGTTAGCCTAATAAAGGATTTTGAAAGTAGAAGTGACAAAACATAAATATGAAAATTATATAAAAAAATACAAAAATTATATGAATTAAAATTTTAGTAAAAGTTATATATATGATTAATAAAAAAATAAAAATGTATTTCGTTTATTTTATATTAATATGAATTGTAATACATAATTTTCGTATAAAATATAATATAAATGTAAAAATTATCAATATTTTACATAAAATGAATACACAAATTATCATACTTACTTAGAAATTGAGACTCTGGAGTAAGACTATAATCAAGTCAAGTTGAGTTGATATAGTGAAAAACTCAAGTTCGACTCAAACTCGATTCGTGTTTGATCGAATTTTAATTTTTAGGTTCGAGTTTAACTTGAAATAAAAATCGAATTATTCAAACTCATTCGATTAGACTCGTTTACTAAAAAAATGAGCTAGATTTTTATGTTCAATTATTTATATTTGAACTTGAATTCAAACTCGAAATGACATATATATAAGGGAAAATAATAATTTTTAATAAAAATAATAAAAAAATTTAATTAAACTCACAAGTTATTCGAGTCAGACATTAAGATGCTTAAACTTGACTCATTTGATAAATCGAGATATTCAAACTTAAATTCGGCTCGATAATTATTGAATCGAATTTAAAATTATCAAGCTGAATTTAAATTTTATCAAAATCAGATTCAAATAATTTATAAATATTAATTTATCATTTATACCTTTATTTAAAAGTGTGATTTTCAAACTACATTTTCCTTCATATGTAGAATTTGATGTGATTACAAGGACTATATGTTCAGACTAAATCAAACGCAATTCAACCATGTATTGTATTTGAAAATTATGCTGTTTCTTTTTTTTTTTTCTTTATTGTTTTGGTCTTTCTGAGTGAATGACATGTAGTTATCACTATCAGGAGTATCTTTTTCTTTGTTTTCTTTTTAAAGAAGAATAGGGTCAGGTCTCAAAGCAAAGAAAACACATGCTTGACGCAAGGGTAACATTGCCTGAGCGCCTGGTAGTTTCAGTATAATGCATCTTGAGGTGCCTCTATTATTTTTACCCTTCTTTCCAAACATTTTTACATATGGTATACCTGCGTGATCATCACATTTTCTTGTAAGTTTTCATCTCTTGAAAAGATATGCTTTGGAGCACTTGGGCTCAGAACAACAGGTTCAAACATTAACATACCATCATATGAAACAGCCCAATAGTGGTTCTGATCTGTCAATAGCAGTTGGTCAAGAAATAAATATGCCATTATAATTATATTGGTTTTCGCTGAGATAGAATATTAAGGTTTTTAACTGGAAATTTTCATGTTTAAATTGTTACTAAAGATGAGATTTATGGATAAGGAAAGCTGTCATTTCTTCTGGAACCCAAGTTTCACTAGACCTTTCCCCGGCAGAAATTAATTTTTAGCTAATGTTTGATATCTTTTACAGATAGTGTAATTATTAAGGTGATTTTATTGTCAAAATTTATTATTTGAAATCACTTAATTTAATTAACAATTATTAATTTTTAATAATTACATATTATTATATTTGAAATTATTAAAAATCAAATATTATTTTATTTAAAAATATAAAAATAATCATGTAATAGGTACACGAGTTAATAATTTTAATGTTAATTAAAGATAATAATTTGTGAAATATTAGAAATATTTTATTTATTTTATAATAAAATTATTAAATTAATAAATATATTGTTTGATAGGTAAACTAATTTTTAAAAATAAACTATGCAATATATATATATATATATATACATATATAAGAAATAGAAAATAAGACTAATTTATTAAATTCATAATAAAAGGAAAACAGAAAAAATTATATTATATACAAAATATTAAAAAAACATATTTTTTTAAACTTATTACAATGAATATTAGTTTTAAAATATAAAAATTTATAAAATAAAATAATTAAAATTTTAACAGGTAATAAGTTTTTAATTCACATATTAAATGTATAATACTAACATCGGTTAATTTTATATATCGCTTTATATTGGTGATAAAAATTTTTCAACATTTTGGATGGAATTATATTACTTTCTAAGATAATGATATGATCATTCTCAATGATATAAGATCACCGTCATGTAAGACTACAAAGTGTTTATCAAACACAGCGATTTAATAACCATACGTAAATCATTATAATTTTCTAAAAGCTTACTCCGTATCAAACACTACCATATAGTCGTAATTTCTTTTGTAGCTTAATATCATTATCACATGATTAAGAATCAAATTGAGCATTAAACTAAAATCAGAACACATCAATTGTATTATTCCATTATAATTATAAAACAAATCTTAGAAATTCACTATAAGAAGTGGACAATTAGCGACGAAATTTTATGTTGCTTATAATCTCTTTACCATCAGAAAATATTGCGGAAATCTCCAAATTGACGTTACTCTTTTGTTAATAATGATCAACTCCGTCATCAATATTAATTATATCATCAACAGAAATTTTCGTTGCTAATAATAAATTTTCAATCACTAATAGCAATTTTTATAAAAATATTAATCCGTCGCCAATGAATTTTAACGATGAAAATTCAGTCATTATTATGATTTTATTTTATTTTTGTGTTAAAAAGTAATAAAATAAATTTTTATTCCATCGTCAAAGGCCATTAGCAGTTAAAAATATTTTTTTTTTTGTTTCAATACTAAATTTCTGTTGTAAAAATGCTTTAGCAACGAAAATTCGATCACTAAAACTCAAAACACAAGGCAGAGTTTTGGGATCAGTCTATTTTTTTTAGGACCAATCCCTGTCCTAGAAGATTTCATCATTATTATGATTTTATTTTATTTTTGTGTTAAAAAAATAATAAAATAAATTCCATCGTAAAAACCCATTAGCAATTACACAAACATTATAAACCTCTATAAACATTTGTGAAAATTTCAATAAATCCATTAACCTCCAACACCATCTATATATAAAAGTCATATGTGGTGCCATCTAAATAAAAAGATAATATCACTAAGCACTATCTCCTTATCCAAGCTATATAGGAGATCTTGATCCAAGAAATGAATCACTATTGAACATCTAGGTGAGTCTTAATAAGACTGTTTTCATTTCCTGTTATGATTGAATTATTGAGGCTTATGTTTATCTCATTTCTTTGATTTCATTTTGCACATCTGATATCTTTTCTTTGAGATCATCAACTCTACAAGATGAACTAAAATTAGGAATGAAGATTGTAGGACCACAAGCTGAGTAAGAGGAGCTAATATAAGAGAAAAATGGGATGTATTAAATATATCTATTATACGTGGCTTACTCCCAAATCACATACGCATGCCAATAACTTAACACCAAGCCTCGGATCAAACTTTGGATGAATAAATGTGTCCTCACTATACTTCTGATTTAATGAAACATGGTTTTCCTACAATTGTACATTTCACATTGCTTAGAGTAAAAAAAAATTACCATAATAATGAAAATATTAAAAAGACACATACATAAAGTAATTTTCACTTACACTAACAATTTTGAACTTATTATCCATAAAATTACCGAATATTTGTGAGTGTGATCGAAAAGTTCTTTATATGTAGGCTATTGCTAAAACTCTTATGACTACATTCAATTAAAAAAGAAGTTACCTTTTATGAACAATAAACAATTGAAAATATAAAATTAAACATCATCAAATACACTAATTTAAGAGTTATTACTAATTTGTGTGCATGAACCTAAAAAGGA